AAGTTATTCCAATTTTTTAGGGGCGCCTGGGTGGCTCAGTCGTTAAGTGTCTGCCTTTGGCTCAGGTCGTGATCCCAGGGTCCTGGGATTGAGCCCCGCGTCGGGCTCCCTGCTCCGTGGGAAGCCTGCTTCTCCCTCTCCCACTCCCCCTGCTTGTGTTCCCTCTCTCACTGTGTCTCTCTCTGTCAGGTAAATAAATAAAATCTTAAAAAAAAAAAAAAAGAAATTTACAGCACTAGATACATTAGAAAAGAACTCTCAAATTGATAGTCGTAGCTCCCTCCTGAGAGGGATGATGCTTGGGTGGAGATCTAGGGATGAATAGACCTTAAGAGGGTAAAGGGAAAATGGAAGTGTGAACCTGGCCAAAGGAGCAGCACAGGCAAAGGCCTTAGTGGCAAAGGCCTTGGGGAAGGCCAGTGTGGCCGAGTGGAGCGAACAAGAGGAAATGTTGGATGGAATGAAATGGGAGATGTTAGGAAGGAACACAGTGTAAGACACTAAGCCATGATGTAAGGGAGTTTTGTCTTTATCCTAAAAACAGGGAAAGTCATTGGAGGAAGTGATATAGTTTAGATTTATGCTTTAGGAATATCTCTGGCTCTTCTTTGGAGATGAATAAGAGGGGGGCCAGGAGAGACATGAGTAGACCATTTAGAGGCTATGGCACAGTGTGGTGGTCAAAGGGTAGCAACGTCATCTCCAAAAAAACAAAATCTGGAGCCATTTGCCCCAGATTAACCCTGGCTCCACCAGCTTGATATAAGACACTGACCAAATTACTTGGCCTTGCTCTCTCCCCTTTGTCATCTGGCACATATCGCTTAGGGTCCATGTGAGGATGAAATGAGTTAATATAACCAGTAAAGCACTTAGAACATACATAGAACATGTTAAGTGTGGCTAGATGAGATATAAGGCTAACAACATAGACTAAGGAAGTAGAGATGGAGCTGAGAACTATGGCCAGAAGGATATTTAGACCATAAAAACCACAATTTGTTAATGGCTTGGAAACGGTGGGTGAGGAAGAGTGGGGTGTCAAACATGACCCGAATCTGGGTGGATGGCGGTGACATGCAGTGAGACAGGGAGCATTGAGAGCCGATCAGGTTTGGAGGACTTTGTGGGTTTAGCTTTGCTCATGCTGAGTATACTTCCGGCTCCCAGTGCCTTTCTTTTTTCTGTACTTGTGCGATTCTAGTGATCCTCCCTCATTTCTACACACCCTGTACAAAGCCACTGCCACTAAGAAGCCAGTAGATGTCACCAGTGACCAAGAAAAGATGAATTGCCTTCTTTGCTCAGATCTGGTTTGATACTTCACTTTACCTCTTCCTGTTCTCATATATGAGAACCTAAAGATTGAGATTTTATTTAAATAACATATCAGAATAATAGAAGTGATTCATTTAAAAATAATAGAAGTGAATTTATGTAACTAATTTATGTCAGATTCCAACTGACAAGTTTTAGAAGATATGTAATAGTTACACAAATATTCATTGCTATTTACTTAAGAGTGCTGCCCTAGTTCCAAATAAAAAGCATTATTATTAAAACTCTACATGCACTGAGAATCACATCACACAGTATTATATTTACTTCAGCAATCAAGCATAATTTAGAAAACTCAAGAGAAAATCTGTTGTATTTACTCTCACTTTTACTCTTTTCATTGTTCTTCCTTCCTTCCTGATGTTCAAAGATCATATCCTTTCTGTTTAGAGAATTCCCTTTAACCATTCTTTCTGTTGGCTACAGATTCTCTTCATTTTTCTTTATCCAAGAATGTCTGTTTCCCCTTCATTCTTGAAGAATATTTTCACTAGATAGGGAATTCTGTTGTTTGGTTTTTTTTAGCACTTGAGAAATCTTGTTCGACTTCTTTCTGTGGTTTCTGATGGGAAATCCACTGTCACTAGAATTGGTGTTCCCCTATTGGTAAATCTAGGTGTTATTTCTCACTGCTTTCAAGATATATGTGTTTAGTTTTTGTACTTGTCCTTGGGCATGGGTTTCTTGGATTTATCCTGTTTAAGGTTTGCTCAGCTTCTTGAACTGTAGGTTTGTGTCCTTTGCCAAATTAGGGGATATTTTAGCCATTATTTTCTTGAATACTTTTCTAGCTCCAGACTCTTTTCTGGCACTTTGATGACATGAATGTGAGATCTTTTGTTATAATCCCACTGGTTCCTGAGGCTCTGTTTATTTTTTTCCATCGATTTTATCTTAGTTGTTCAGAGTGCTGATAGGAAAAGATATTTTCCTATCTTCAAGTTCACTGTTTCTTTTCTTTTTTATTCAGCATTTGAGTCCCCATTGAGTTGTGTGTGTTTGTGCACATGTGTGTTTTTTACTGTGGTTATTATATTTTTCAGTTCTAGAATTTCCACTAGGTTCTTCATTTTATCTTCTATTTTTTTGTTGAGATTTCCTTTTTTCTTTCTTGACACTTTGTATTTCTGTATTTTAAATTTGTTTCAGACACGTCTGTAATTGCTTACTGAAGTATTTTTCGGTGTCTACTTTAAAATGCTTGTCAGTTAATTCCAACATTTGTGTCATCTCAGTGTTGGTGTCTGTTGATTGTCTTTTCTCATTCAAGTTGAGATTTTCCTGATTCATGGTATGATTAATCATGGTATGATTTTTTATTGTATCTTGGACATTTTGGGTGTTAGGAGTTTCTGGATCTTATTTTAACTTGCGCTTTAGCAGGCCTCTGACACCATGCTGTCAAGGGAAGGTGGTGCCACCTCACTACTCCAGGTGAGAATGGAAGTCCAGGTTCCCCACTTGGCTTCTGTTCACACCCCTGGGTGTGATTAAGTTGCAGGAAGAATATAACTTATGCGGCTGGAGATCTTGAAGAAAACTGAGGCTGTATATCTGGGCTGTTATCAGCATTGTCTGTCCTTAGTGGCAGGGTGATGGGCTACCATAAAATGCTCTTAGGGGTCACATTTCTTTTTTTTTTTTTTTAAAGATTTTATTTATTTATTTGAGAGAGAGCACATGAGAGGGGGGAGGGTCGGGAGGGTCAGAGGGAGAAGCAGACTCCCTGCCAAGCAGGGAGCCCGATGTGGACTCGATCCAGAGACTCCAGGATCATGACCTGAGCCGAAGGCAGTCGCCTAACCAACTGAGCCACCCAGGCGCCCCAGGGGTCACATTTCTTAAAAGGTCATTCATATCTGAAATTTCACTTCCTTTTCTGATAAACCTGTTCCAGATAGTATTTCACTTACTATAATTTTTTACTAGTGCAAAGATCTGAGTCTGAATTTATTTCATCAGTTCTTTCGTTATTTTATAAATTAGTGCCATAACAGTTTTTTGTTACTCGTTTTTAAAGTTCTATATGTACCTGATATAAAAAGAAAACAAATTACAGAGTTGCACAAACTAAAAAGTGAAAGAACCCCCTTGAGGCCCTCTGTTCCACACAGTATAGCCTGTTCACTGCTGTTTGGGATGTAGAAGTGGTGACCTGTTAGGTTTTTTTCTTTTTAAATTTTTTAAAATTTTATTTATTTTAGAGAAGGGGGAGGGGCAGAGGGAGACCGCGAAAAATCCTCAAGCAGACCACCCCCACCCAAGCATGGAGCCTAGGGCTCGATTCCAGGACCCTGAGATCATGACTGGAGCCCAGATCAAAAGTGGGATGCTCAACCTACTGAGCCAGCCAGGCACCCCTAGAAGTGGGGATGTTTTACAGAGCTCTCTACAGCATGATCTCAAATAAGAAAATCTCATTTCAGGTTCTGAGCAACATTCATACAGTCAGAGCCACATGGCAACCTAAAAAGCCCAAAACATGGACCTTTTCTCCCCAGGTAAGGAATCTGCTAAAGGAATGGAATGAAACATGAACCTCTTTTACCTGTTAAGTGATAGGCAATTGATTTCTGAAGCAAAGCTGTCCGTGTGTATCTCTGAAATAACGTATTTAGGTTAAGCACAGAATATATGGGGCCAGATTTGAATCTTTAGATTAATGTTCTTTGAAGACTTTGATAAAAATTACTTTTGTTTCTGACTCATCAGAGTTATAATTCCTATGAATCATCTCATTCAGTGGATTTCAGGGTTCAATTCTAGGAAATGCCCCCTGATGAAAATGAAAACAAAAAGATAAATTTAGGAAGTGTTTTTCACAAATGAAATCAACCATGCTAATGAGAGCTGTGCTTTCTTCAGATAAAATCAAGGGTGACGCCCGGGGCTGGTACATTATACCCAGGCACCGTCAAGCCTGGAACAAAAAAAAGACTGGAATGAGGTTAGGTGGCTTCAAACCACGGAGTCCCTATGACATAGATGTGAGTGAACATGAAGATTTGATATCTTGATGTTCTTATTATAATACTGTCTGTAGTTTATTTTACTTTACCTTTTTTCTGCCTCTAAAGTTTCATTACTTTAATGTTTACTTCCCATAACTAATTCCCTTGGGGCACTGCACCCTAAAAGTCCTCCATTAACCTTTCTCTTACTGCATCCGAAGATCTTCAAGCAGTAGGGGTTCAAGGAGAGGGCCCAGGGCGTGGAGGAGGCTTGCGTGCTGCATGTGCCCCCGCTTGCTTTTTGTGCATCTCCTGGAAGTCCAGTTTGATCTAAGCGCCCTACTGCTTGTATTTCGGCACAATGCTTCACAGTTCTGATGTTGCATCTCTGTGTATATGAAGCATTTAGGGTCGAATTTTCTAATTTTTTCTGGATATAAAGACAAACTGTTTGGAAGAAGAAATAATAAGAAATTGTTCCTTTGTTGAGGGAAATTAAGCATCTGTTAGGTGTGAGACATTCTTCCTAGCCACTGTGGGAACTTACATGTTGGTAGAGAAGAAACATATACAGGTATAATAACAATAGCCTGTGTTTATGGAGCTCTGTCCATGTGCCAGGCACGGTGGTAGGTCCTCCTGGGCATGTTCTATGATCTCATTTAATCCTTGGAGTAGCCCTGTGGGGGCGGGGTCTGTTGATAACCACCACAAGGACAGAATGTCACGGTTGCCGGACTCTTAAGTGCTGTGGAAGCGCAGAAGAGGGTGACATTAATTCCAGCCCTCAGGCTCAGGGAAGCTTTTGTAGAAGAGAAACTAAACTTTGAGGGTTGGGGAAGATTTTATAGGCAAGACAGGAGGGTGTGGTTGTCCAGAGAGAGGAAAAGGAATGAACAAAAGAGAAAGGAAAGGAAAATTTGCAAGGCACACCTCGGGAAAGTTGAGCAAATGTGTGTATAAAGTCTTCAATTTTAGTTCTGTTTACAAAAAACAATGGTTAAGTTAAATATCTTATTATATATGCAAACTATTTTTATAACACCTCTGAGGACTTAGGTACAGTACTTGTTTCACATTAGCCTCTACTCTCACCAAAGAGTGAGTGAAAGTAAAGGTATTTCCCTCAACACAAAACTTAAATTTTTTAACTTGAAATTTCTGGTGTAGATGGGTCCAATCCACCTGCTTTCTGTTTCCTTTAAAAGACCATTATTACGGTGCAAAGGTATAAACTACACACAGACAAGTAGAGCTGAAACCTCCCTCCCATTTTAAATTTGTATTAGTAACTTAGTTTTCTTTATTGTTTCAGGTTACTGGCATCTTGCCCTGCTTGCTTGATGGTGATTGTTTTATCAGATCCAATTCTTCATCTCCAGATCTTGGAATATTATTTGAACTTGGAATTTCTTATATTCGCAATGTATGTCAGTTGAAAGATAAAGCTTTGTAATGTATCAATTAAAGGGAAGTTTAAAAAAAAGTCTATTTACAAGTAAAATAATTGAGGTTTTTCTATGTAATAAAATTTTAATCTCGCGAGGAATGGGAATGGTGGTTCTAATTTATATATAGCGCTGCTTTTTCAGTAGCATTTACAATAAAAGTGTATTTGTTTATAGCTTGAATGAACTCCAGTGCTTTTAAAGAATGAAGATTTGAAAAGGATGAGACTTTGTGAAAGTGATAAAAGATATTCAGTGGCATTCCGGGGCTGTTTGACCTCTGTCCTAGAGGGTCAAGTTATACTTAACCTTGTGGCTGATGCTTCTAATTAAGGGACCTGACAGAGTGGTAATTTTTATAAAGGCACCAGAAACTTGGATTAACTCATGTCATGTAAACAGTTGAACCAGTAGATATGGGTCTGTGATAGTCTTATTTATTTTTATTTTATTGAGTCTTTTATTTTAATTACAGTATGTTAACGTACAGTGTTATGTTAGTTTCAAGTGTACAATATAGTGATTCAGCAGTTGTGTACATTGCTCAGTGCTCATCATGATAAGTGTGCTCTTAATCATCCTCACCTACTTGACATGATAGTAATTTAAATGTCTCCACATTCTAATAATACCTTGGTAGGTGTAGTATATATACTTGGCCTCAAGGTGACCCAGAGAACCAACTGCTATTATATTAATAGTATCACACCATCCTTTCATTTCTTTAAGGCAGATGCATCCAAATGTGTTATGGGTGGGTAGGACAGGAGAGGGAAGCAGGGCCCCAAGCAAGTCCCTAGTGGCCTTCAGCAGTTGACAGTGGAGGTAAAGTTCTGACGGATGATTAAAAAAAATGATTTAATTTGTGCATTCCATCTCTCATTGGGGCAAAGCTGCATAATCCCATGTAGTACTGATATGGTTTAGATCATTCCACAAATACATCATTTAAGAAACAATAGCAACAGTTGCCACATCATCAGGTTTACGGAATTTGCAAAAGTAATTTGACAAGATAGGATTTTCACTTTTCATACTGCCTTTGCCATCTGGCCTGCAAGGAAAATGGGACCCACTGTATTTCACTTTATTTTCTTGTACAGAATTTTTTAGTCCTAAAAGTGAATGCTAATTTTCTTCCCTTTAAAGGACTTGGTATGTGCTTTTAAATTTGGTTCAGATAATTAAATTTTGTATGCCTGTTTATTTCATAGTCAACCGGTGAAAGAGGAGAATTAAGTTGTGGCTGGGTGTTTCTTAAACTTTTTGATGCCAGTGGAATTCCTATTCCAGCAAAGTAAGTTGCCTATATTTTCCTTCCAAATGAGTAATTTTGTAGAAATTCATTATTTAGAATCTGGATATCTCAGGTTTGCAGAGTGTATATTCTGTTAGCATTTCAAAAACTTGTGGGGAGAGGGCTTTTAATGTTGATCTTTTAATGTTCTTTGAGGTGGTATATGAAAACAGCATGCACAGGGTCATCTTAGAGAGGAAGAAATGCCACTTATAGAATAGGTATTTTAAAAGATGTTTACTCAGGGGTGCCTGGCTGGCTCAGTTGGGTGAGCATCCAACTTGGTTTTGGCTCAGGTTATGAACTCAGGGTGGTGAGATTGAGCCCTGCATTGGGCTCTGCGCTGAGCATGGAGCCTGCTTGGGATTCTCTCTCCCTCTCCCTCTGCTCTTCTCCCACCCCTGCTCGCTCACTCACTCACTCTTTCTCTCTCTCAAAAAAAAAATAAATAAATAATAAAAGATGTTTACTCTCTCCTGAGAATATTTTTCAGTAAATTTCTGTGGTATTAGCACATTTCACAGTGCTGAAACAGAACCTGATTCTCTCCAGAGTGGAAAAGCTAAGTCCAGGGTCCCCAGGTCCTCTGTGACTCTACCTTTCTCCTATAGGTGATACACTGAAATTGTAATGGCAGTCACTGTAAACGAATTTAAAACTTAAAACCAAAAGGCAGACTGGTACCAAATATCTGCATTATATACAGAATGGTCAGATTATTATCCCTAATATAAAATGGGTTCTCAAAAATGAATAAGAAAAAGACAGTCCAAGTTTTTAAATGGGCATACACAAAAAAATCTAAGTCTAGGATACAAACAAGAAATTCACAGAAGAGAGACACATGGGCAGTCATCAGGATGGTAATTAAGATCCAAGGTTTGGAATTATAACATTCAGGGCTCTCGGCCTGGCTCTGTCTGTGTAACTGTAAGCCAAGTTCCAGGTTCCTTGCCTGCAAGCCCCAATTTCCTCTCTTTAAAATGGGAGATTGTAATAGTTCCTACCCCAAAGGGTTATTATGAGGATTGATTCAGATAATGCTCCCTGCCTTCTGTGACTTCTCCTTACACCCCAGGGGCGGGCATGGCCTCTTTACCACAGGGCAGAGGTAAAAGTCCGGGCTCCACTTGTCCTTCTCTGACATCATCCCGGTGATAGGGAGAAGGGCACGGCCTCCCAGAACATAAAAGTCCAGTGTGCTTGTGATTTAAATTTGTTTTGTTTTGTTTTTAAGAATGTCTAGGGTTTTTAGCTGTACCTAGTGGGAGGGAAAAGGGTGTTTAACACTCCATCTTTCCAAAAGGGAAGTCACAGCTATTTTTCTAAATGAGGTAGAAGCCCATGTATTGACACTGAAATATTTCCAGTGTATATTATGATATGGAAAAACCAAGTTGCAGAATAGTATGTGTACTATGGCTCCATTTTTTTTCATGAAAAACTGTATTTGTGTGTATATGTGGGCGGGCCTATGTAAAGTGTTCCCAGAGGTTGCCTCTGAGGCACAGAACTAGGGAGGTAATGCAGTGGGATTAAAGAGGACTTTTATCTTCTACTTTCTATACTTAGGTAATATGCAACTTTGAAAGAAAATGTGTCAGTTTTGAGATTTACTGTGTATATATATATATTTGTTTGCATTTGCATAGAAAAAGGTAGGGCAAGGGCCTTACCAGACTAGAGGGGATGGGATGGGGAGGGATGTTTTGGGGTTTTTTTGGTTTTGGCTTTTTTTTTTTAAGATTTTATTTATTTGAGAAAGAGAGAGCAAGAGCAGAGGGAGTGGCAGAGGGAAAGGGAAAAGCAGACTCCACTAGGCGGATCCCAGGACCCTGAGATCATGACCTGAGCCAAAGGCAGACACTTAACTGACTGACCCACCCAGGCGCCCCTGTTTTGTTTTTTACTTATCATTTCTATGCCATTTAAGCATTTGAAAAATACATTTAAAATACATCATTAATACATTCATTAATGTAAGTCATTAAAGTCAAAACACTTTAATGGCATCAATTAATTTTTCTCATTCTAATGGGGAAAAATGTATTTTCTATAGTTCAAAGTTAAGAAAGAAACTTTATTTACTGAGGTAATACCTCACAGAGGAATCAACAACTTTTATTCTCATTTAGCAATGAAACAAATAAAATGTCTGGGAATGTTATCTGTGCTAAAAAATATTTCACTACTGATTTCAGTGTTTCAAAATAGAAACACGTGGTTTTTTGCTATTCTTTTGTAGAACGTATGAACTCTTCTTGAATGGTGGCACCCCTTATGAAAAAGGTGTTGAAGTGGACCCTTCAATATCCAGAAGAGGTACAGCTCTTAGGCATTGCTTTCTCTCCTTCCCTGAGAAAGTACACAGAATATGCATCAGCAAAGAGAGCTATATTCTAATAAGCATAACATTCTTCACTTGAATTCACATTTTTAAAAATAAGTCATTTGATAGTAAAATCCTAGTCACTTTTATCTAAGTGCTTCTTTTCTTGGTAGCACATATAAGACTCTAACGTAGGCAATCAGAAAGCATGAGGACCGTTCATTAATGCCTTCTCCTTGAACACTGGGCTGATAACTTGTGACCGCCACAGAGTTAATGACATAGACTAACTCCCAGGTTGCCTGTTGCTGGGCTAAAGGACGTAGACATTTCAAATTGTGGTACACATGCCGAGTTGCCTTCCACAAATATTGAGCATCTTTTAATATATTCATTGACCAGGCACTGTGCTAAATAATGGGAAAATGGAGAGTAAGACAGATCCGATCCTTGCCTTGCAGAGCTCAGCTCCTGAGAGATTTGGAACTCTCCTTGTTTCATAACTTAGAACACATAGCATTGCTGCTGCCCTGGTGATGCCTGTCCCAGCTTCTTGGAACAGGGAAGGGCTTAGGACCTGGGAAGCAGTTGGATCTGCCTGGAGTCAGGCATGCTTTTTTAAACTCCCTTTATCCCTTTATAATATCTGGCAGCGATGCTGTTGAAGCTTCTGGTGTAGTGGCAGCTCCAGGGGTACTTAGGGAGGCCGGGAGGCTTTAACACCATGCTTTATCTCTTTATCAGCTCATTTAGGGTATGTGAGGGACTCCTGCTTTTCATACAATTACTATTTTTACCCCAAATCTTTGTTTTATTGTAAAAAGTACTTTGTTTTATTATACTCACTGTCTCAAGCACTTCCAAGTTTTGACATTTATTTTTTTTTTTTTTTTAAAGCACATGGGAGTGTTTTCCATCAGTTGATGACAATGAGAAGGCAGCCTCAACTCCTAGTAAAACTGAGATCTTTGAACAGAAGATCAAGAGACTTGCTGAGGTTGGTACCCACTTACCTGGCCAGTGAACTTGAGGCCCTTCGGCGTCTAGAGACCATCTCTGCTTTTGGCTTCTCCTCCTGCTTGATCATCTTTTGTCGGTTAGTTTGTTCCTCATTAATTCATGTGCTGAGGATCAGCAGGGAAATGGAATGGTAGGAAAATTCAAATCAGCTTACGCTTTTGTTTACTGGTTAGTTCAAGTGATACATTTGGTCAGAAATAGTAGAGAAACTTGGCTAAATCGGGCTTGCCATCCACAATCCTGTCGTCAGGGAACCTTTTTTAAATATCAGGTTAGTTAAGGTATAATTTCCATGCAATAAAACTTACCTTTTTTGGTTTACAGTTCTCTGAGTCTTGACCAGTGTATACAGTCGTGTAACTACCACCACAACCAAGATGAAGAACATTCCCATCACTCTAAACAGCTGTCTGCTTTGTGGTCAGCTCCCCAGCCTCAGCCTCAGGCAGCCACTCATCTGTCGTCTTTTCCCGCAGTTTGTTTTTTGTTTTTCAGTTTTCATTTTTTAGTTTTTAGTTTCAGAGGTAGAGTTTAGTGATTCATCAGTTGCATATAATACCCAGGGCTCCTTACATCAAATGCCCTCCTTAATGCCCGTCACCCAGTTACCCCATCCCCTCACCCACCTCCCTTCCAGCACCCCTCAGTTTGTTTCCTGTAGTTAAGAGCCTCTCATGGTTTGTCTCCCTCTCTGATTTTGTCTTATTTTATTTTTCCCTCCCTTCCCCTATGATCCTCTGTTTTGTTTCCTAAATTCCACATATGAGTGAAATCATATGATAATTGCCTTTCTCTGATTGACTTATTTTGCTTAGCATACTACCTTCTAGTTCCATTCACGTTGTTGCAAATGGTAAGATTTCATTTTTTGATGGCTGAGTAAATTCCATTGTATATATACACCACATCTTCTTTATCAATTCATCAGTAGATGAACATCTTTCCATAGCTTGGCTATTGTGGACATCACTGCTATAAACATCAGGGTGCACGTGCCCCTTCGAATCAGCATTTTTTTATCCTTTGGATAAATACCCAGTAGTTCTATTTTTAACTTTTGAGGAACTTCCATACTGTTTTCCAGAGTGGCTGCACAGTTTTCATTCCCACCAACAATGGAAAAGGGTTCCCCTTTATCCACATCCTCACTAACATTTGTTGTTTCCTGAGTTGTTAACATTAGCCATGCTGACTGGTGTGAAGTGGTGTCTCACTGTGGTTTTGATTTGTATTTCCCTGATGCCGAGTGATGTTGAACATTTTTTCATGTGTCTGTTGGCCATTTGTATTCCCAGCAGTTTTGTCTTTTCCAGAATGTCATACATATGGAGTCATTCAGTATGTAGCCTGCTAGGTCTGGTTTCTTTCACCCAGCATACTGCTGCATTTGAGAGTCATCCAGGCCATTGCACGTAGTAGAAGTTGTTCTTTTTTGTTCTAAATATTATTTCATTTGATGGATATACCATAATGCATATATCCATTCACTAACTGATAGACATCTGGGTTGTTTCTAAGTTTGGGCAATTATGAATAAAGCCACTCTAAATATTTGCATACAGGTTTTTTGTGTGTGGCCATATGACTTTATTTTTCAGAGGTATAAATACCTAGGAGCGGGATTGCTGCATCATCTGGTGTCCTTCTAATTTTATAAGAAACTGCCAAATTGTTTTCCAAAATAGCTATAGCATTTTATACCCCCAGCAGCAATGTATAAAAGTTCCAATTAGGCATATTCTTGGTATTATCCATTTTTTTCTATTTTGGCCATTTTAATAAGTGAGTAATGGTATCTCCTGGTGGTTTTAATTTGCATTTTCTTCAGGGAGCTTTTTTTTCTTTTTCTTTTTCTTTTTTTCTTTCTTTTTAAAGATTTTATTTATTTATTTGACACAGAGAGAGAGAGACAGCGACAAGCAGGGGGAGTGGAAGAGGGAGAAGCAGGCTTCCCACAGAGCAGGGAGCCCGATGCAGGGCTCCATCCCAGGACCCTGGGCTCATGACATGAGCCGAAGGCAGACGCTTAATGACTGAACCACCCAGGCGCCCCTCTTCAGGGAGCTTTTTAAAATTTATTTTACTTTTTAGTTAATTTTCTTTTATTGATTTAGAGAGCTCTTTTTAGATTTTTTATTCCAGTATAATTAACATACAGTGTTATAGTCATCTCAGGTGTACAATATAGTGATTTAACAATTCCGTACATTCCATACATCACAATAAATGTACTCTTAATCCCCTTCACCTATTTCAGGGAACTTTTACACTAGTAGGGTCCCAGATCTGTCACCTTCCAACTCAGTAGCCTCTTGGACAAGTCATTTAACTATCTTTCTCAGGATCCCAATGTCTACATCTTTTAAATGGGCATAATAATATCAACCCCATGAAGCTATAATGAGGTTTAATAAAAAGAAAGTATATAAAACACTTAGATTGTTTTTATAGTATATGGCACAGAGTAAAATAAAGTAAGTGTTAGCAATAATTATTTACTATTATTATTATCATATTATAGATAAATGCAAATATAATTCCAGGTCCATGGTGCTGTATGTCATAAATTTGTTTAAATGAAGATGTGCTGTGTAGCTGGTAAGATCAGGAGGGATTTGAAATAGGCTTTGAAGGATGGGAGAGCTGTGCACATGTGAAGATAGGAAGCCATGGAGAAAAGGAACCTAACACAGAGGGCATATAGTGGACAAGAGGTGGAAGGGAAGAGCAGGGCCTGGGAGCAGAAACTGATGAAGTTGGCCTGTCCCACCGCGACCTGCTTCTTGCTGATCACCAAGAAACAGAGTAAGAGATGAAAACTTGGCATATCCTCCTGAATTGTTGCTTTTCTCATTCTGGATCATGCCCTTAGTTTAAATATTCCTTGTTCTTATATCTGATACTGAAATGTGTTTTCTAATTCTAGTATTAACAATTAAATCTTTCAATAACCATTAATAATGTGTTCATGGATATTATTCATTCTCTTGACTGCCCTCCCCCCCTCCAATGTTTATAGCACTTATAAATCCCCTTTTTTGGCCAGACTTTCCTTGGAAAATTGTTATTTTTCAAGATTTAGAAAAAAGAAGCACAGTAGCAGTCTTTGTAAAAGAAAAGCCAAAATCCTGTTTGGCTTCATTCTTCCTGCTTCTTCAGCCTCCCACTCCTCATCTCATTGGTAAGCCTCCAAGAGTTCCCCAAGTACTCCCAAGTGTGTCTTTCAAGTACAGCTCTTAATAGTGTTGCTTTGGCCCCAAATACTGGTTCCAAGATACTTTTTACCATCTAGGGATCAGATTTGTCTGGGCGGTGCACAGGTCAGGTAGGCAGGCCCATGCTTCCAAAGCAGTGAGTGTTCTTCTGTATGCTGGTTCTCAGAGAAGGGTCCTGAGTCCTTGCCCTCCGGACTGCAGGAACTAAGGTGCTTGTTTGATCACAGCACACACTAGGCACCCAAAAAAATGTTTACTAAAGAATTTCAAAGTAGAAATCTTCCTTAGGACCTCTGCTCTGCCTCCTGCTGTCCCTAAAGTCCCCTACCTTGTCTTGGTGTGTGCTCTTCTCTCCTCCTAGTGCCCAGAGGGGGACCCGAGCATTGCCACTCTACTTTGTATGATCCTGAAATGTGTATGCCTGGTAGTGGCAAGTGTAGGTTGGGGCAACTCTCTGGTGCGGCCTAGGCTCAGGCTGGCTCTCACAGAGACCAGGCCATGGGCACAGAGAATCCAGACGCCCCTGCCTCACTGCAGAGCCCATGAGCTGTGGTGTGAAGGCTGTGCTGTGGGTCCAGGGTGAGAGGCTGGGCACCAGCATGGGTGCTTTTGGGCATCTCTGCCCTGAGCCTGCACACCCTGGAGGTGGAGACTGAAGCAAGACTGATCCATCTCAGTCCCCTCTCCTTCCCTGACTGCCACCTTCAAGCGGATGGAAGAGGAAGACAAATAATGATACCAAGAGCCCTCGTCCTCTCCTTCAAAAGTGCATCACACCTCTCTCCCCATCCTCCCTTGCTTAAGAACTCCACTTTTGTTTGGCCAGACTCTTCTGCTTAAAGGAGAAAGGACAGAGGCTTTTAACATTATGCCAAGCAAGATACAACAATGCGCACAGACCCAATGGTGGGAAGCCCAGGGAGAGTTTGCCTTCCCGCCCACTTTCCCCCAGTTCCTTTGCTAGTTGTCTTCATACTACCCTCTCACAGCCGGCAGTCATATGTGTGCGTACCCTTGGATGTCCAGAGACCCGCAAAAATGCAAATTAACCAATGTAGACTTGTCTCCTTTTCAAAGAAACCGCACCAGAATCCTGCCTGTGAGATTCCTTTGGCGGAGACAGTTGTAATCATGGTCACCCTCTCAGTAGGAGATGAAAGAGGAAGCAAAGAGATCCTTCAGTTTCACTGAGAGTATGCCATTCTCATTTTGGAGCTATTTTTCAGTGGGGTTTTACCCTGATGTGATTTGGCCAAAAGCATGCGTTTAAGCCGCTGATGAGGGCAAGCTCTGAATTTCGACCCAGACTCCCAGTGCATGAGTTCAGAATCCCAAGAAATACGGGTCTGTAAAAGTAGGCTGTGTGCATGCGTATAAATTTGCTATAAACTTATTTGTCTTTGCCTTTTTGATGTCTCCCATCTTTTTTTCCCTCTTTCACTTCCATTGTATTGTTTCTAAAAATAAATGAGGTAATCGTGTTACTAGCCTGGGGCCCATGATTAGGTTCATTGCACTTCCGCCATCAGAGTTTGCTGGTGTATCTGTGAGATCAGAAAGAAGTATATTTTTACTTCTTCAACTTAGCCAACCTCCATAGCCCGGAGCTTTCTGCTCATCTTGGGTTTGGGAAAATCAGAGGATTTCCCCAGAGAAAACTAATAAAGTGCAGCAGTCCTGCCTCATGTTGTGGGGCAGTGCCAGAAGGAAGGGAGCGCCCACCCTGTGGGAGGAATGAAGGCCTCCACCGCAGCTGGCAGCAATGCCAACCAGACAGAGCAGACGGGTCTGTGAGAGGAGAGGGAAAAATGGAAGGAAGGTTACACCCCTTCCTCCAGCAAAATCACTGGCTGTTCTTCAGCATGAGCCATGGCTTGGGCATGCAGCTGAAACACTGCCCAAATGGACCATAGACCAGAGGGCAGGATGTGGAACAAGCCTGAGGGATCGCAGCTGAACACTGAGCAGACATGTGGTGGCATCAAGGCAGCTTAACTGATCCTCCGCAGCCAGTCTTTGAAATCCAGGTCAGACACAAGACCAGCATCGTAGCGGCGGTGAAAAACAACGATTTCTAACTTTGTGTGCCACGTGCCCTATATGAATGTCAGAGAGCCTGTCTTGCATTTTGGGGATGTTTCTAGAAATGCAGGGGTTAGGAAGTGGTGAAGGATACTTACAAAATTCCATGAAACTACCTCTAGGGAATCCATTGCTCCTGTACCACCCTAGGGATTATACTTACTCTGTTCTCTTCCAC